GGTCATACTAGTTATATCTACTCAGTCTGTTTCTCTCCTGATGGTAATACATTAGCTTCTGGTAGTGATGATAAGTCTATCCGTCTATGGGATGTCAATACAGGATAATAAAAGGCCAAATTAGATGGTCATAGTAGTTATGTTATGTCAGTCTGTTTCTCTCCTGATGGAAATACATTAGCTTCTGGTAGTGATGATAACTCTATCCGTCTATGGGATGTCTAAACAGGATAATAAATAGCCAAATTAGATGGTCATACTAGTACTGTCAACTCAATCTGCTTCTCTCCTGATGGAATTACATAAGCTTCTGGTAGTAGTGATAACTCTATCCGTCTATGGGATGTCAAAACAGGATAATAAATTAAATCCTCTGATAAAAAATATCAAGATATTCTTGCTTAATTACAAGCACCACTATTTTCAAATAATCCTCTGCCAGGTATTTCACTATTAATTACCTTTTAGAATCCAACAATAATACAATTCTCAGAATATCTTAAACACCACTATTCCAAGCGCAAGGAGCATTAATCTTGAAAGGAGAATTTATCAATTATGAGGGATACGATCTAAGATCATTATTCAAATCTTTAGGAAGTTGCATTTTAGAAGGCTTCAAGTAAAAGTGAGCATGATTATTCATTTACAATCATATAATTACCAATACAATAAATTTCTAATAACTTTTTTTTTATTTTCTCTTAAATAGGTTCACTCTTCATCTTAACTTCTTAAGCTAAATAAGGAAGTATTTTTTTAAGTTTTATTACTTTTCAGTCATTTATACACTTAATTTTTTTAAATATTTTTGAAATATATAATCAATTTAGTGAAGGAATTAATTATTTTTTATGAAATAAAGGTTTATCAATTAACAAAAATATACTCTTTAAATAAATAATTTCTACTCAAAATATTAAATTAAATAAAGAAATAAAAATAAAGATTGATATAATTACTTAAAGAAAACTTAATTAACACAACATTCTTTTATATTCGATTTAGGATATTATATGATAGATTTACTTAATTTATTACTATTTAAAAAAGAGATTAGTCTTAACAACAAAATTAATAATTTTGTAATATTAATTCATAAATAGTAAAAGATATTTTATAAAGCAAAAATACATTTTTTTACTTTATTATTGATAATATTAGAAGTAATTTAAAGATTATTCTACTATTAAATAATCTAATAAGGAAAAATTCATATTCTATAAGTAATCATCTTTAGTATTTTACATAAACTTTTTAAAAATGCTTACTTTTGAATTTTAATAATTGTCTTAAGCCTAAATAATTAATAAACTGTCCCTTATGGACAAGAGCTCCTTAGTATGATCATCTAATTTGGCTTTTTAATATCCTGTTTTGACATCCCATAGACGGGGAGACTTATCACCACTACCAGAAGCTAATGTAT